TCTCTCCCTCTCTCTCTCTCTCTCTCTCTCTCTCTCCTCTCTCTCTCTCTCTCTCTCTCTCTCTCTCTCTCTCTCTCTCTCTCTCTCTCTCTCTCTCTCTCTCTCTCTCTCTCTCTCTCTCTCTCTCTCTCTCTCTCTCTCTCTCTCTCTCTCTCCCTCTCTAGCCGTCATATCCAGTTGAACTACCTCCTAAATGTCATAATAATTACAATATTAAACTTACATACACATAAATGAGTCCGAGTGTACGTGGGCTAATTGTTACTAAATTTGCTCTTACTCTGGCCGGGTGTAATAGCTCTGACCATTGTTAACCGTGTCACAGTGTGCCGACTACAGTATGCCGTGCTGATATGCCCACACATACTTTACATATTTTACGTATATATTTTACCCTTTTCTCCCTGGCAGTGTTTTACATTTTTACCCTTTTCTCCGGCTGGGGGGAAGGTGTGAGTTGTCGTGCTATTCTTAGTGTTTGCCTAGCTCTCGTTGCTCGTGCCTGTTTGTTCGTAGTGCTAGGTTACCTGTAAATGCGATTGTAGTGAGTGGTAATGAGGTTAGGAAGGGTCAGAGAGCTGGCTAGCCCGGATACACTCATGACTCATCCTCCCCGGTGACAAATAGAGGTGATCTCGGAAGGAGAACAGGAACATGGAACATGTATCCGAGGGAGGTGGGTGTGTTGGCAGCCTGTCAGTTTGAAACCCTACACCCGGACTAAAGACCGGGATGTAGGGATCAGAGAGTGAGAGCTCTCTTGTAGTTGTACCCTGGAGGACTCATGATCAGGGGGGGGTACAATTTTAGCATATTCACAGTATAATACATGAACCCCCTCCTATCTAGGCTTATGTTCTAGTGCAGGGTAACAAGATCAGGATCAGTATCACAAGTGCACAGACACGGTCTAAACTGCTCCATAAACCAAACCTGGACCATATACCCTGGTCCATGATCTGTTCTCTTGCTCTTACTTGTTTTAGTGGTCTTAAAACGTCTCTACATCCTCTTTTAACACGTACTGCGCGCTCAACAATCTGAAATACCTCTCATTAGAACAATGCTGCTAATGATGTATGATAGTTATACTAGACAGCTTCCGAAATGTTGCAGTACTAGACATTGGTAGCACTAGACTGCAGTACCATGCTGAGTCAGCATGGTACTGCAGTCTAGCTGACATTTGTGAGACATGGACAGAAGGAAATCGCGGCATGTACGGAATCGCGATTTTTCCCATTATTTGCTACAAATTTTATGTATAGTTTAATGTATAGCCTGTTAAAAATCGCGGTATCGCGATTTTTGGCCTAAATAATCCTGAAAATTATTTGTCCCTGCTGTGAGAGCTTGATTAGGGAGTTATCCTGAACAATGTCCTCATTGCTGAAGCTCAATCTACCTCGCCGGTTGTACAGACTCCAGCTACACAGCTAAATGGGCGCAGCATATTGTTAATTGTGTGTGTACCCAATACGTAGTGAATGTTTCTTTTTCTGTGTGATTAGGCAACTGTTTTGTTCCCGTCAATCTTTTACATAACGTTTAGTGTAGTGACCAGTATAGTGACCAGTGTAGTGACCAGTATAGTGACCAGTATAGTGACGTCATGTATTCTAACCCTATAGAGAGATTGTCACATGACCGGCCTGAAACACTCCGGACCAGTCATCTCGATTTTTACGGATTTGAACATATCCGGAGTCTCACCGCCCCGGTACGTGACATACCAGGTATGTACGTGACATACCAGGTATGTACGTGACATACCAGGTATGTACGTGACATACCAGGTATGTACGTGACATACCAGGTATGTACGTGAAATGCCAGGATTGTCCGGTCCGATAAACCAGTTTCCTAACAGAACCCTGTTACCTCCGCATGACATTCCCGGGTAACCACATTCCCGGGTAACCACATTCCCGGGTAACCACATTCCCGGGTAACCACATTCCCGGGTAACCACATTCCCGGGTAACCACATTGCCGGGTAACCACATTCCCGGGTAACCACTAACCAGGCAAGTGGTTAGTCCGCCACAACACTATTGTTGGGGAGCTACTGCTATAATTTATCATGAATTATGTTAAGGGGGTATGAGGTGGTATGATAGATAATACTGGACAAAGAGGGCTAAGCAGGCGGAGTGTGTATCGTTACTAACTACACACTATGTTGATCAGGGAGTCAATGGGCTGGTGCTAATATGTATTCAGTTAACAGGGACAAAAGGAAATCGCAGCATGTGCGGAATCGCGATTTTTCCCATTATTTGCGACAAATTTTATGTATAGTCTTATGTATAGTCTGTTAAAAATCGCGGTATCGCGATTTTTGGGCAAAATAATCGCGATTTTCTTTTTTCCCTGATTCAGTAGGGTTCTCAACCACGTGTATTAGTGTAAGGAAGAAGGGGAAGGAGGTGATATTTAACTCCTTTCTCTCTTCTGATGAATCATATTTATAACTTACTTTATTGATAGTAAATCGATAAAGTTGTAATTAAGGAAAATACGTGAAAAATAATCTGGGGAAAATAATGACGGTGACCTAAATTTTGGTAATCCGAAAATTTGATTCTTTTGTCAAAACCACCGACTTTCGTACCATTTAAATATGTCCCGTAAGGTATTTGCACTTTGCAGTGAGGGGCCAATCAGGTTGTACTGTCGCGTAGACTGACGCCTAGATTTTTAGAAAGGACCACTTGGGAGCCTACAATGATATTTAAATAGGGTCCTATTGACTCCTATTGCGGGATATTTATGGGCTAGAGCAAATAAAACGTACTTGCCAGTGCAGTTTAACTATTTGCATCGAGAAGTCAGTAAGTTGGACTGTCACGTGAATGGAGGTCTAGGTTTTTAGAAAGGACCACTGGGAGCCTACAATGATATTTTTAAAATATGATTTATCTGCAGTTAAATAAACTGAAATAAAATGGACATTTAGACTGTCTGCATAGTCATGATGTAACCGTTTTTATAGTTGTCCGAATTTGAAGTCCTCAGTATTTGCTACAATTTATTCATTTTTGCACCCTCTTTGAGATCTATAATTGATATGCAGCTCCTGAAACCCGATTTCCGAAATTTTTCCGACATATCACTCATGTTTTTCGGCCCAATTCTAAATGTACACTCCTCAACGCCCCGCTACACCCTTGTCCCGCACACTGGTGCCCCCCCCCCCCCACTTATAGAAACCCCCTTCAATTACTCTGTCATTCTCTAGCTCTATATTATACGCATATAGTCGACAGATATCTTGCTCGCTCCATGCCAGGTATTTTGTGTGTTCGACACATCAGTTGTGGGTTCCCGCTCTCTTCATCGTGAAATAATTGCTATGGTTACTTTTACACTTCGTTATGGTTAACAGTTGGTTACCGTTACACTTTGCTATTACAAGCTTGATGTTTCTGTGCGCCGGGTTACCTCCAGGTTACCGTTACACTTTGCTATTACAAGCTTGATGTTTCTGTGCGCCAGGTACCTCCAGGTTACCGTTACACTTTGCTATTACAAGCTTGATGTTTCTGTGCGCCAGGTTACCTCCAGGTTACCGTTACACTTTGCTATTACAAGCTTGATGTTTCTGTGCGCCAGGTTACCTCCAGGTTACCGTTACACTTTGCTATTACAAGCTTGATGTTTCTGTGCGCCAGGTTACCTCCAGGTTACCGTTACACTTTGCTATTACAAGCTTGATGTTTCTGTGCGCCAGGTTACCTCCAGGTTACCGTTACACTTTGCTATTACAAGCTTGATGTTTCTGTGCGCCAGGTTACCTCCAGGTTACCGTTACACTTTGCTATTACAAGCTTGATGTTTCTGTGCGCCAGGTTACCTCCAGGTTACCGTTACACTTTGCTATTACAAGCTTGATGTTTCTGTGCGCCAGGTTACCTCCAGGTTACCGTTACACTTTGCTATTACAAGCTTGATGTTTCTGTGCGCCAGGTTACCTCCAGGTTACCGTTACACTTTGCTATTACAAGCTTGATGTTTCCGTGCGCCAGGTTACCTCCAGGTTACCGTTACACTTTGCTATTACAAGCTTGATGTTTCTGTGCGCCAGGTTACCGTTACACTTTGCTATTACAAGCTTGATGTTTCTGTGCGCCAGGTTACCTCCAGGTTACCGTTACACTTTGCTATTACAAGCTTGATGTTTCTGTGCGCCAGGTTACCTCCAGGTTACCGTTACACTTTGCTATTACAAGCTTGATGTTTCTGTGCGCCAGGTTACCTCCAGGTTACCGTTACACTTTGCTATTACAAGCTTGATGTTTCTGTGCGCCAGGTTACCTCCAGGTTACCGTTACACTTTGCTATTACAAGCTTGATGTTTCCGTGCGCCAGGTTACCTCCAGGTTACCGTTACACTTTGCTATTACAAGCTTGATGTTTCTGTGCGCTGATCCGCGGTTTACAGTCTACACAGGTCGTTTATCTGTTAATGTGGCTCTAGTTATTATCCTGCTAGACACACTCACCGCGACCTGAGTGTACTGGGATATTCTGCTGTGTACAACTCAATAATGAAATCGCCGTTCAAAGATCTCTTTAGTGCGAGGTACTGATGGTCTGAGTTCTGACATAGTCCTCTAAATTTGGAAATTGAGTAAAGCTGACCGTAAAATGTCTTTCAAAAGTTTAACATCTAAAAGCTGTTGCCAGAAGGTATTGTACATTAAGCACAAGCTTGCCGATTTAGCCGTTATTTGTGCGCAACCTGGGCGATGGTTTAAGTAAATGTGCTTTTTATTCCCGTATTTAACGAACACAGTGCCTTGAACTACGGGCTCGGACCAACTTTTTGCAAGACCTTCCCAGACTTAATGCTTTCCTTTGATCTCGCAAATCTATTAGTTCGTATTTCTTAACAGCACTGGGATATTAAACTGACCAGCTTGTTAAATCTAGAATAATTGCTGGAATTATAACCTTCACTTCCATTTTGTGGTGCCTAACCGACCACTTTGTTATAGCAAGAATCACAATGGTGATCCGGAGATAAGAAGGAGATAAGAATCATGGAGACACCAGTGTATCAGGAACTGTCGTGGAACACCGTTCCACAACCGTGTAAACAGAAGGACTACAGACTATTGGAGCAGCGCCGAAATGCCCTGATCCAGGTACAGAGCAGAAACCTAAACAATTTAATTATTAATTGATGTGTTATATTAGTATAATGCATAATATTAATGTTATGCATAATTTGAAATCAAATTGCAAAGAAACCCCTCTATTAATTTGATGCATAGCAGATAAAATGCGGCAATATCCCTACAATTATTGGCTACTCTTAAGAAATTTTGAATGTAATCCGGCTTAAGTAGACTTAAGTTTTCTTATGAATGTCGATGATTAATCGTACTCTCCACATTGATGTCTAGTTGATACTTTGTTACAAACCCTTTGAGGATCATCGTAAGGTTAATTTTCTGAATTATATGTTATTATTATTATAATATGTGAGTGTCAGAGCCTAATAATAGCTGGTATTTAGTTAGAGTAAGATTATTGAGCCGTTAGATGTATTTTTTAGTCGGGTCTGGTTTACGGCTACCCACCACCTGCCAGTCGTTCATTAACTTTTGATCAGACTAAATTCTTTGACGCATTGTTTCTCTAGATATTCGGGCACTTACAAAATGTCTATTTTTGCCCCCGTCTCCCTATCATGTCAGTATCAACACCAAACACTGAGTTTATGGTTAAGTTTGCCTAATTTCAGTATTTTTCATTATATAATGTAGACTTTTGTCTTGTTCTAGTTCTCAGTGCCCCAGATTGTTGTAGGAGGTCTTGGACAGAAGTTTTCAAATTTACCCATGTTGTTCGTAATTAAACTAGTTCTCCGTTTCTACCACCTCACATTTGAATAACTAACAAGTTTTAAAATGCCAGAACAACGCCCAACATGAAGCCTCCAAACAAGCCTAACACTCGGTAATATCTTAGAGCCTGCAGCAAGCCCCAGCGAACAGAGTTGACCTGGAGAAGCAGCTTCACAACGTACAAACAGAGATGTACATGTACCAGAACTCACAGAAACAAAACTACAACGACTTCCTCTCCTACAGGTACTACAAAATTCGAGCTACCATGAGGAATGCTTGATCATCACCCTCTCAGATCAAGTCGTAATGAGTTCTTTTGTCATTTCATGACCTTTTGATGCTCTTGCTTGTACCTTGTCTATGATTTAGACATCAAAGGCTTCTATACAATTGATATCTCTAATCATTTTTAATTAACTACAGTAATTTCCCGATTTACCGCGCCCTGATTTACCGCAAACCCCGATTTTCAGCGGGTAATTCCTTTCCCCCGAAGTTTTCTGTAAAAAGTTGCCGTAATGCTGTTTCGAAAAATTTGATTTTATTTCCTACAATTTAAGATTTTAAAAGAAACAACTTTTTAAAAATTCCCATTATCTTGAAATTTGATGCAAACTGGATTAGTAAAGATAATCGAACAGTTTTTTCTCCGATTGTTTTGCAACAGCATCTGGACCAGGGACAAAAGGAAATCGCGGCATGTACGGAATCGCGATTTTTCCCATTATTTGCGACAAATTTTATGTATATTCTTATGTATAGTCTGTTAAAATTCGCGGTATCGCGATTTTTGGCCAAAATAATCGCGAAATCCTTTTCTGATCTGGACCACCACTTCTCACTACTGTACGATAGTACGAAGTTTTAATTCTTTTAACTTACAATCTATTTTCAAGGACGCCTCACCCCTCCTCTGATCCACCCCCAATGGAGTCCGATCTGATGGATATGCTGGGCATGCCCCAGTCCGGCAATACGTGGAGCAATAAACAGTTCATTGACTCCGGTCAGTACATTTTACTTTATCCAACTAGCCGCCATTTCGTGTCCTGATTTGCCTTTTTTGAGAATTTAGTGAGCTACCATTTACCAACAACACTTAAACGAGAAAACGATGAGAAAATAAATACATGTAAGATTGAATTTGATTAAAGGCTGAACCCTTCACTAAATGTATTATACTCAGGTATCGCTTCTGGAAGCACCACCTCCCCTCCGAGTGATGACGGTGGAAACAACGACTATCAAAACGGAATTGACGATGAACTGGCAATGCACAACATTCCTTCCTTCGATTGGGATGTTCCTTATAGCAAGAGTTCCTTCAACCAGACCCAATCAAGGTACTTTCGGTTTCACTTTCCCTCTTAAAATGTTTCACTTTGAATTCTTTACTTGCAGTAATTTCACGATTATTTTAACGAAATTACTAGAGTTTCAATTCCAGTATAGCATTCTTCCGTCCAAATTCGACTTGAAGTTTTACCAATGGATGTGAAAATTGATTTTAAACCACTCACTTAAAACTGGGAGGAGGCTGAATGTTTGCATATGATACTTAACAATGGTATTTTATTTAATATAATTATAAGTGAAAATGAGAGTTGAAAATTATGATGTAACCTTTATCCTTTATTCTTTAAACCAAAAACTTTAAAATTAAAACTTGCATATCATGAGAAATAATTTTATTTGATACGACAGATGATCACACGCACTGTTTTATAAGCTACTTGTGTTGGTAATTAATGATTAGTGAGCAGGGCAGAGTCGATAGTATAGTGCTCTGTATAGTGCTCTGTTTGAACCGTAGTTTGTTTTAAAGTGAATGAGCCCATGTCTTATCAGCACCTGCAAGCGCTATCATGACAGGGAATGGGCATTGCAAAAAATGTGGCATATGGTTGATAGTGACTAGTGTGCTAATCGTCTAGTTTTACTAATTCCTCAGGTAATTCTCGGTAGTTGATTTGTTGTGTGCCTGATCTTGTTGACTTACGTAGCCCGGGTAAATTATGGAACAGTAAAGGTGGTCATTCTTCATTGTTTGCTGAGCTTTGTAGTTATATCATTGCACGCTTGGCTGATTTCTTATAAATGCTTATTGAGAAAATACTAGATGGGCAAGTTATGCGACTAATATTGTGCTCAGTAATAGCTAATATACTGATATAGGACCTTTATAGAAAACACTAGCGCTTAGATCCGGATGAGAGTACGTTGTTAGCCAGTTGATATTGTCGTCATAAGAGGTGCCATACTTTGGTATATCAGAAGGCCAGGCATGTAAGATATTTTGTGCATCAGAGTCAGAGCATTTGTTATGATGACCCCGTGTACAGTTAATATTTCGTACTCTTTAAAAGCAAGTTTAATGTGATCCGGAAGCTTACCATCCTTGTAATAGTAATCCACGTAACCCGACACTGCTCGTATTCCCGGCTTTTGTTTAGTGAACAGTGAGTCAATATGAGATTTTACAGCAAAGCCCCAAACTAGTGAACAGAAATTTAAGTGAGATTGTAAAAAAACGTTGGAAGATCTGTAAGCGTGCTTTGATTGGTAAAAAAACGTTGGAAGATCTGTAAGCGTGCTTTGAATTGTAAAAAATGGGATTGTATATTTATGATGTAATAACAAAAATTAAAGATTATTCGTGGAACTGGAAGGAAGGCCAATTAAAACATTTTGTATCTGATGACGTGCTGGATTGTTTATGCGATTGGCATTCTCCTAAAAATGGGAGTGAAACTAATTGATTTTCCATCTGACCATGGCAACAAAATGTATTCACAGTTATTATCATTTAGCCTGACTCTACTTAGCTTTAAAGAGCCATTTTACCAATGCATCGACCAACATAGTCACATTTTTCTTCTGAAGCCCAATTTTCCAGAAACTTCTAAATTTGTTTCAAATCGCTATTGTCAAGGTAGAAGAAACTACACTTCCAGTTTACTATTTTCGCTGTTTAAATCATTGCTGATGAGATTAAAAGAGATTTCAAAGTAAACATAAACCTTAGTCTCCTGATCACATGGGCTAGTTCAGATGTCATCTCTTAGCAATTACTCATAGCTTTCAGAGGTATAGAAACAAAGATGTGTTTCTAAACGCCTAGTCTAGTTGTTTAAATGTCTGTCCCCGATGTTATACATGTGAAATTGACAGATCACAGGAAGAACCCGAGAACATCTCCATCTAGACAAGCACTGCTTACCAGGTCTAAATCACTCTAACAAGCTCCACTTATTCTCACATTTAACCAGCATGAACAGTTCCTTCATTAATCACATTGTCTCTAACAAGTCCTCTGTTTCAGGTCCCAGAGGTTGCGTGCGGAGCTGTTCCCGGATGCAAGCGAGGAGGCGACCCCAACACCCACCCCTACTCACACCTCTCCCACCACACCCGTCACCACCACCTTGCAGACTCTGGGAGAGCCCACCCCCGTCTCTCACAACACTATTGACAACATCGCTCATTACCAGGTTAGTGTCTGACAGTTACTACAACATAATAGTCACAACCTGGGCAATTATTGGTCTCAATTTGGTTATTTAAACATCCCAAAATTCTTGTTAGAATTAGCGACACGACGTTATGGTGGTTAAGACAGAGTATAATTGCCTGGCTAAATGTGTGGTTCTGTTATTGTGGTTTTAGACCCTAGACCGAGTCTAATTGCCTGGCTAAATGTGGGGTTCTGTTATTGTGGTTTTAGACCCTAGACCGTAAAACCGAGAGACGGTTATCTCTTTAGGCCAATGACCCGTTAGGGGAATTGAGAGCAGGTGCAAGAACCCCGACACAACAAATAACCCGCACCTGAAACCGTACTTACAATCACTTTTTAGAGCCAATACTCCACAATATATACCATCCTGTCCATTGATAACGACCATCATTTAGAATTACAGCTCTTATCAACGACCTCAAATTGAATTACAGCCGATAACTCCGGCAGTAATTACTAGGCGTTGCATGGTTAAAGTGGGAGGATAGACTTAGTGTTGTCAAATGAAGTTGCCGATTGAGATCACTGAACAAAAATCCATTTTCATGTTCAACAAAGTTTAAGAGATATGCCAGTCAAATATCGCTCTCCTACCGGTCGATATCAGTCGATATTAGTCGAATATTAGTCGAAATTAGTCAATATTAGTTGATATTAGCCGGTAGCCAGCCTTTTGGAAAGAGGGGAGCACTTGGCCAAGCGAAGGAAGGCCGGCTTTCATTGAGCAGCGCTCGCAGCGTGCCGGTCAGGCCCATGAGCAACTTGAGGCGATATTTCGGCTGACCCAATGCCTTAGTCAATAGTCACATCTCACTCTCCTTACTCCTACTACTAAACGTTCGACTAGCTAGCTCAAACAATGAATTATTTAAAACTAGCTTGATCATACACACACACACACAGGGGTCGACCGAGGGCAGGATTTTCGACCGAGGCCGAGGCCGAGGAAAATACAGTCAGTTAAGACCGAGGCCGAGGACAACCGAGGTTTCTTTTTTTGACCGAGGCCGAGGCCGAGGCCGAGGAGTGCAAATTTTGACCGAGGCCGAGGCCGAGGAATTTTGGCAGAAAAATTGTTGGGAAAAAGGGCATTGTTTATTAGGAAAAGCGCACTGTACCTAATCAGATTGTACTGTGTACTATACTGTGTACACACGTTACAATCATTATGAAGGGGCAAGTTCGCCAAGAGTCAGGAGTGGGCATGCTAATAAGCAGAGCTATCCGAGGTACCGCGACAATTGACCCCCCGACAATTGACCCCCGACAATTGACCCCCCGACAATTGACCCCCCGACAATTGACCCCTATGTAATTACACTGGGGTCAATTGTCGCGAAATCTAGGGTTTAGTACGACAATTGACCCCCCGACAATTGACCCCCATGTAATTACACTGGGGTCAATTGATCGGGTCCTGGGTCAGGGTTAGGGTTAGGGTTAGGGTCCTGGGTCAGGGTCAGGGTTAGGGTTAGGGTTACGGTTAGGGTCCTGGGTCAGGGTCAGGGTTAGGGTCAGGGTCAGGGTCCTGGGTCCTGGGTCCTGGGTCCTGGGTCTTGGGTCCTGGGTCCTGGGTCAGGGTCAAGGTCAGCCGTGGGTCAATTGTCGGGGGGTAAATTGTCGGGGGTCAATTGTCGGGGGGTCAATTGTCGGGGGGTCAATTGTCGCCCACCCCTATCCGAACCTTGCAGTGTTCAAGGAAATATCTATCTGCGCCGGCGAGCTCAGCAGCACCAGAGAGATTGTTTTCTACAGCAGGGCACATCCTGAAGTTAAATCGCCTCAGCCTTAAGCCAACAAACTTTGAGGGGTGCTTGTTTCTCAAAAAGAACATCGGAACATTTGGGGACGACTTCGGCCCCTGTCCAAATGAATTTGAAGCCCCAAATAAAGAGGACTGTCCCCCTTCTTCTGAGCTGTGCACAGAAGATTATTCTGATTCAGAGTGCTCAGATATTGTCATTTCATCAGACGATGAATCTTAGACTATGATATTTTTAGTTTTGTGTCCTGGTCAATTGGTCGTTTTATTTTCAATTTTACAAATTCGTTTACATTAACCTCACAAACCTTACAAAAATCCTCGGTCAAATCCTCGGTAAAATCGTCAAATTTCGCCGAGGCCGAGGAATTTCGAATCTATTTTTGACCGAGGCCGAGGCGAACCGAGGAATTGTCCTCCTGACCGAGGCCGAGGAAAAATCGCCATTCCTCGGTAAAACCGAGGCCGAGGCCGAGGACTCGGTCGACCCTTGCACACACACACACGCGCACACACACACACACACACACACACACACACACACACACACACGCACACACGCACGCACGCACGCACACACACACACACACACACACACACACACACACACACACACACACACACACACACACACACACACACACACACAGACACACACACAGCAATAATAACCACATGTCTATGTTTGTGTGCTATTAAGAGTTGCTGAACACGTGGTGTCTGACTGCTGATAATGATGTGTTTTGTGCTGCTCACTACTCCAGATAAGTGTACATCCACGTCTAACATATCACACTCAATTTACTGTGATGAGGATAAGAAAGTTGATGAGAGAGAAAGAGAGATGGTGTTGTCAGGTGAAATTGACACCTGAAATCGCTTAAAATAACGCCCTTTCCTCTCTAATAATAGGTCACAAAGTATGTACCATGTATCTCAGCAGTACTTTAATTGGTAGGTTCACAATTAGTCCTCACAAATAGTCCTCACAATTCAAACCTGTCTATCAATCCTGAAGCAGTCTCATCTCTAATCCAGCTAGAAAATAACATCCTGTCTGAGGAGCAACCTACAGCTGAATCGTACTTGAAGCCCACATTTAGAGTTGGTACTTGGAGATAATCTCTCAGTATATAAGCTAATGTGATAACTGCCTGTTAAGAAACCAGATCATGGTTCTAAAAAGTGAGACTTCTGTGATCCCTTCATCGGTCTCAAATGACTGACAAATTCTCACACCCGTCTCAAATGACAGCCACCATACAGGACAGCAGATGATTTAGATAAGCTGCTCCCAATTTAGACTCTACTCTCTCTCCCCCTCTCTCTCTCTCTCTCTCTCTCTCTCTCTCTCCCTCTCTCTCTCTCTCTCTCTCTCTCTCTCTCTCTCTCTCTCTCTCTCTCTCTCTCTCTCTCTCTCTCTCTCTCTCTCTCTCTCTCCCTCTCTCTCTCTCTCTCTCTCTCTCTCTCTCTCTCTCTCTCTCTCTCTCTCTCTCTCTCTCCCCCTCTCTCTCTCTCTCTCTCTCTCTCTCTCTCTCTCTCTCTCTCTCTCTCTCTCTCCCCCTCTCTCTCTCTCTCTCTCTCTCTCTCTCTCTCTCTCTCTCTCTCTCTCTCTCTCCCCCTCTCTCTCTCTCTCTCTCTCTCTCTCCCCTCTCTCTCTCTCTCTCCTCTCTCTCTCTCTCTCTCTAGCCTCTACTCACTTCGCACTTTGTAGAAGCTTCAAACACATTACCGCACAACAAACCCGTGAGAAAATGGTCCTCTCCAATGACCTGGATTTAGAACAATCCACACATTTATCACATGCATACCAAACTTTGAGTTGGGTGAAATCACTTCATGATTTGTGGTGTGTGGCATGTCAGGAATGGGGAAGTGGTAGTGACCTCACTGTTGGTAGCTCCCTCATCATTACCTAAACGTCAGGAGGGGTCAAAATAGTAGTCCCATTTGAGAACACCTTGGTGTGATTCGGTGCTTGTGATTAGACGATTAAACAACTTCATGGGACTTCTATTTTAACTCGCCCTCTCTATACCAATATGTCTTATCTTGACCACAAGATAATTTAACACTCAGGGAATTTAACAATTAAAAGTTTTGGATGACACAACTCCTTAACTTAATTTATAAATATTACATATATCTAAGTTATCACGACAACTTTTATCGTGAAGGAGATAATGTATAAATCCTTGACTCATTCATTTCCTTTTGACAAAGCTTGTCCCAAAACATGAGCATAACTAAAAGATACGTGGTGATCAAACTAAGGACTGACCAAAACTTATCGTGACCATTACCCCCCCCCCCCCCCCTAAACTTATCGTGACCATTACCCCCCCCCCCCCCCCAAACTTATCGTGACCATTACCCCCCCCCCCCTAAACTTATCGTGACCATTACCCCCCCCCTAAACTTATCTTGACCATTACCCCCCCCCCCTAAACTTATCGTGACCATTACCCCCCCCCCCCTAAACTTATCGTGACCATTACCCCCCCCCCCCTAAACTTATCGTGACCATTACCCCCCCCCCCCCCCCCAAACTTATCGTGACCATTACCCCCCCCCCCCTAAACTTATCGTGACCATTACCCCCCCCCCCTAAACTTATCGTGACCATTACCCCCCCCCCCCCCCCCCAAACTTATCGTGACCATTACCCCCCCCCCCCCTAAACTTATCGTGACCATTACCCCCCCCCCCCCCCCCCCCCCCCCCAAACTTATCGTGACCATTACCCCCCCCCCCCCCCCTAAACTTATCGTGACCATTACCCCCCCCCCCTAAACTTATCGTGACCATTACCCCCCCCCCCCCTAAACTTATCTTGACCATTACCCCCCCCCCCCCCCTAAACTTATCGTGACCATTACCCCCCCCCCCCCCCTAAACTTATCTTGACCATTACCCCCCCCCCCCCCTAAACTTATCGTGACCATTACCCCCCCCCCCCCCCTAAACTTATCGTGACCATTACCCCCCCCCCCCCCTAAACTTATCTTGACCATTACCCCCCCCCCCCCCCTAAACTTATCTTGACCATTACCCCCCCCCCCCCCCCTAAACTTATCGTGACCATTACCCCCTCCCCCCCCCCCCCCCTAAACTTATCGTGACCATTACCCCCCCCCCCCCCCCCCCCCCCTAAACTATCTATCTAAACTACACCCTCCCCTCCAGGATGACGCGGAACTGGCGATGCAAGCCATCCCGGAGTTTGCGAAGCTGCTCAGCTCCAAGAGCGCGGAAGTGTTGGTTTCCGTGACGACCTGCATCCATCAGCTGAGCAAGAAGGAGACGAGCATGCATGCTCTGCTGAGCTACCCGCAACTTATGCCTACTCTCCTACACACACTGGGGACCGCTACTGATCAAGAGGTACTGTGATACAACTAATTAGTGGGATTATCTTATCTACTGTATTAATCAAATCTTCATTAACATTAAGGTATTATCATAAAAAGCCAACGTTCAGCACTTTAAGATAGAAACTATTCGAATTTTTCAAGAATTGACGAAACGCATCGACTTTTTACTTCTGCTGAAACATAACAACAAAAACCTATCAGTTAATTAACTGATTAACTAAATCAAAAGTAAGGTTTTATTAAATGCTGTTCGTATCTTACTGCTATTTCAATCATTAAATTAACTAATTAATAATGTCAGGTTATCCGGTGCTGCACCGGGACTCTTCACAATCTCTCCTACCTACGAGAAGGTCTAGAGTCAATACAGAAGTTCAGAGGGATCCCAATCCTTTGCGAACTCCTCAGCAACTCTTCTGAGAACGTCCTCTACTACACTATAACCACACTGCACAACATGATTCAGGTAAAACCACAAAATAACCACACTGCACAACATGATTCAGGTAAAACCACTAAACACAACCGAGAGCTAATTTTAGACCGCGGAAGGCAACTTTGAACCTTTAATTCTACCGAAGGCCATGGCTGAAAGCAAGCTAATGTTTTTCTCATAGAAGCCGCAACTAAAAACACTAAACCAAGATTGGTCACTGACACCACAGCTCGAAGTCAACAAAATCTCGAAGATACAGTTACAAAATAAAGTCACCAGCTCCGCACATAATGTTCCCTCAGAGATATTACTCTCTGCGCTGATAGTCCGTCTAGACAATGTCAGAGACCCTCTCATAGCTTGCTTTGATATCCGAAAGTGATAGCTTGCTTTGATATCCGCTTAATGGCTACAGTCTGGCGGCAGGAGCACCCCAAGCTTGCTTCAGTCTTTTCCCCTTATCTTAAACTACTTAACTTAACTATAAACTACTTAACTTAACTATATATAAACTGATTATCCTAACTATCGTTGTAAATTGCTGTACTTATTGGAAATCGTTAGAGCTGGGTAGAAAGTAGATCAGTTGGAAATCGGAAAGAATATTCTGGGCTGTTCCCTTTATAAACATCAAAAACTTATTAACCAGCATCTTATTGCGTACTAATCCGCTAATTGACCTCTTTTCAGCGTCACAAGTCGAGTCAGCTGGACATATGCCTATCAGGCGGTCTGGAGAAGATGGTATCAGTCCTGAAGTACTCCGACAAGCCCCAGTTCGTAGCCATGGTAGCGGAGTGTATCCACCTGCTTTGCCACAGGAACCCAGACAAGAAACAGGCGGTAGCCGCGTGTTCCGGACCTCTACACCTGGTTAAACTCCTGCAGACCTCCTCCGTGGAGTATGTCACCTGGGCGGTTGCCAGGGCACTGAAGACTCTCTCAGTGTGCAACAAGAACAAGAAGTGTATCCTAGAAGCTGGAGGAATGCAGGCTCTAGCCAGGCACCTGGACACAGGGTCTCAGCGGGTAACAGAGGAGGTTCTTTACACAATGAGGAACCTGTCTAACGCAGTGAAGGGGAGCAGTGTGGAGAACGCGGACCCTATTCTCACTAAACTGATGGACGTGCTTGCCAGAACTAACATCAACCTCATAGCCTGCTCAGTGGGATGCCTCTCAAACCTTACCTGTAACAACCCAGTAAGTTGTGGAATCTACCTAAATCACCCTAACAAAGCTTAGTGTTACCATGGTTACAGTACTAGTTACCATAGTAACACTACACAACACACACCTGTCTGTCACCTCACACTACGTAACTTCCGGATGACGTTATCATCTATAGTTACCGAGCTATTTCATAAGCTATCACAGTATATTATTCTAGATTAATCTTTCAAGAATCTTATATATAAGAAACACTCAACAACAGATAAGTTAACACTCCCATGACTTCAGAATAACAAGAAGACAGTGTTCAGAGCTGGAGGTTTGGACACCCTGCTCAGATGTCTCCTCCAGAACCAAGCTATACCCTCAGTAGCAGAACCCTTACTGTGCACTTTACGACACATCAACTACAAGTACGTTTACTACCGGCTGTCCCGGCTCAAAATATAAGTTGCATGTTGGCGTATAATCGTCCAATAAAAAGCCTAGAATCACACCGATCACGTTGTCGTGAGATTGGTGGTTCTATTATTATCTACTTTGAACCTCACTCAAAAGTTACGTTAAGTTATTTGTCACTGACAAGGTTATTTGTCACTGACAAGGTTATTTGTCACTGACAATGTAATAAGACTGTGGTAATCATGATGTTTTTAAAAATTAGTGAACATGAAGAACATTCCATCTATTTCCAATATAGTCAGCGCGAAGCAGTCTCTTTAAAAACGAAGCTAACCTCGGAATGAACATAACCAATAAAAACACTGCAGCAATGAAAGGAGCTAACACAACCCCTCATTTCAGACACAGTGAGTACGAACAAACCCAACACGCCTTCAGAACAAGTGGGGGGATCAGCCTCATTACAAAGGTCCTGTCCACGGCTCAGCATTGGGCCGTCATAAAGGCTGCCTGCGGCTTGATTCGGAACCTGGCCTTAAACGCCGCTAATATTCCCTTCTTCAAAGAGACCGGTAAGTCAGAGGAGCTGGCAGAGCAAAGAAACGGCACTGACAAGAAATGCGAGGCATCAAAGAAAGCAGGCAACTATAATACCCGCCGGGCGTCTGCTCACCTTTACCAATGCCTTTACTTTGACCTCAAAGGATTGCAATCCTTCACAATTTTAGTTGGCTCCTTTTGAAGTATGACGGTGAAAAACCACTTCTGCAATAAAAGTTTAGTGGTTAATTTAAGAGAGCGATCTTTTACTGTCACTTCTCTGCTGACATGATATACTCTGGATCATGATTCACGCTTTATTCCACCTTTTCGGCAGCTCCAGTCATCAATAAATGTTTAATCAATTGGGACCGAGAATTCTCCTCGGTCTGGCACGAATTTTCGGTTTACATACACCAAAGGACCCTTCTGATACCAATTTCTTCATTAAATCACTCGGAGCATAAAGAAAATGTCTGGTTCCGAGAAAATAGAAGATTATACCAATTTCGGTTAAAACGGATGCTTCAACCATGTCAAATAGGAGCGGGCAAATTGCTTCGCTCTGATTGGTTAGTCTACCTAAAGCATTATCTTCCCAAGTTTAATACGCACGCAAACAAATTGACTTGAGGCTCTTCAGACACTAATTACGCACCTGATATTATAACTATTAAAATATCGGTAAAATTCATTGCACGGGGAGTCTATACATCTATAAATGTTATTGGTTAAATGCACCGCCTCCCGTTCTAGCCGATAATGGACCCCCAGAGGTGTGACTAGTTGTACAATTCTTATGCGTTAAAAATTCTTCTCAAAGACTATTACGCGGGGGTACTTACGCGACCAGCCAACATTTGGTGCTTCACATTTCGAGTATATGTGCCGTAATAAATCGTCATCTATATATATATATATGACTGTTAAAAATAGCTGCCCATTTAAGATTTCATTAGAATAACGAGATGACTTACAATCAATACTGCCGGTGACAACAGTGCCTCACAGATCCTTATTTTCAGGTCTACTTCTGCATCTGATCCAGGCTTGCCTGAGGATAACGGATCACTACAAAGGGGGAATCAGCGAGAATCGAGACGGTATTAAATTAGAGGACATCATGTGGGAGTCCCTGAAAACCCTGGAGTCTGTTTCTTGTCATCCTGAAATCAGAGCTCAGCTAGATAATCCAATATCGGCTCATCTCCTCATGAAATGTATTAACAGTAACAATGAGAACTTGGTACAAGTTGCACTCAGCTCTGTTGTTCAGTTTGAGAATAACGAGAATTTTATGGTGTTGATCAAGAACGATCCCCGGTTTGAACTGATTGGAAAACTGTGCCACTTCCGGAATCCCAAGATAGCCCAGATGGCAGCAGTGCTGTCAAACAGGCTGACTGAGATCCAAGTGGACGTGAAACCCCCCACAGCAATGGAGCAGCAACAGCACCACACCCCGGCTATGTTCGTGAACGGGGGAGTACAGTGGGGTGAAGGAGTGCCACATGTCCGTACCGACAGTGGAACTACCACCTCTCACCTGAACGATGTGGTGGATCTAGACGCCACAACAGCTCAGTACCGTAACGACAGCTTCATCAAGTCCCCGAGTAGCATCCCAGTAGCACCACCAGGAGGAGGAGGGCAGCTACAAGCCTCCCCTCACCAGCAGTACTCCCCCCGGTACCATGCACCATCCCCTCACATCCAACAGTCCTCCTACAACGGTGTAGCCTTCCCCACCACCTTCTCCGGGGGCACCGCCTCCCCTCACTACACGGCACAGTCCACCTACCACCCCTTCCCAGGATACCAACCCAATGGCTATCAGCCCCCGCAGCCTCCTCAGAACTCTAGAAACTGGTATACGGCTATCTGATAGTTCATTGCGGGCCGCTACTTCAACCCTTATAATTTATTGTTATGAGATGTGTGCGTCATGTGCCGGATCGGGCCTGGTTTAAGAGGGAGTTCAGACTAAATATCGGAGCGGAGTATAACACGTGATCAATCTCATGTGACCCCCACGGAGACCCACCCGCCACCCACAACTAACATATCGAACAAAAATATGAGAGATTTTCATGAACTATAATGTGCGCGATTGTGTGGAGTTCTCCAGTCCGCCGGTAGCAGAGGGAAAGTGAAAGTGAAAGTAAAATAAACCTGGCCGTCGAACCACGAGGATGTAAGCAGTGATGTCGAAGTGGAGCATTAAACTCATATCTTAATTTTATTGTTTTGATTATTTTTACTACTCTTAATGATGAAGTTTTTTTCTAAATCCGAAGAAAACATTAATGAAAGCAATGCTTACTAATAATGAATAGAAAGCAATGCTTACTAATAATGAATAGAAAGCAATGCTTACTAATAAAACAAGTTTTATACAATATACTAGAGAAAGTAATGCTCCAACTGAATGAATTGCAAATGAGTTATACCACTTTGAGAAGTTTTAATCTACTGCCAAAAACCAATTAAATTATAACTTTGGTGGGGTGGAGCAGCCTCGATCTGTCTCCTAAACTAACGGACACTTCATGTCTGTCTCCTAAACTAACGGACACTTCATGTCTGTCTCACTACTCCTAAGAGTTAATACTTGTACCCATGCTCTAAGAGACAGTTTGATGCTTCTTCATCCGCCGATATTTTATACGCCTCGTATTAGTGTAGTACTGTGTACGGTGTGTGTTCTTTTGTGCTTTTATCATTTTATACGACTTGGACGAAGCCCTTATGTGCGTCGGGCTTTTAGACACTTATAATTGGCCCTAATCGCTGATCAAAAAGAAAAAGTTGATTGATGATTATATTTAAGCATCTGATGCATGAACTGCTAGTCATGTTTTGTCATGTTATATGCTTCTTGAATATTTTCGGAAATTTAAACCAAAGCTCTACAGCCGCTTGGTGTATTCGAGTTCTAACTTGAAGCCCGTCGTAACATTTTAGTTTCGCACTATTTGGGATAAAGCCCGCGCCTATTATTTAATTTTATCATTAGGATGCATTAACAATGACATTTTAGTATTTTAAACATTGAAACCTGAGTCTTTTATTTCTACAAATACACTTATGTTTTATGAGTAAAGTTATCATTAGTTAAGTCATTGTAACCTGATAAAAATGAGCTAAATTGTCCTCCAAATTTTTCAAAATCTTGTGATAAGGCCTTGAAGATGTGGGAGTAACTTCGTTTGATGTACTTTTGGACGCTGATTCAAAAACTGTTGGGCGTTTATTAAATAAACTACAGCATACAGGTATGTTACATTGTACATACAATCTGCAACTTGAACAACTATTAACCTTCTATCTGCTCAGAGCAAGTTTGTCACCAGCTTTAGTAATTTCTGGTTGGTAATTGTTCTCGGTTTCCTCTGTACCACTGGTCATCTCTGCTCAATTCAACTCGAGGATAACCGATTAAGATTATAATCAGGCTCCAGTTGATGGAAAAGCATTTGTCGCGGCGAAAAGCTTTGAGTTATAGATTTACTTCAGCAAGACTTAATAAAACACGATTAGATGAATTGCTAACAAAAAGATAAAACACTCAAAGTTATAATACATAAAATCTATCGTAATGTCATAAAAGAGTTAAAAACCCAAATCAATCATCCTCTTGTATATAATTATACTCTAAAGTTTGTTGCCATTAGGGTGCAGCTCCTGATTGCGTAAGCCCTTGTCCCGTCCCTCAGCCACGTCCGCTTTGCCTTATCTCTTATCTCCTTTTAGTCTTTAGTCTCTTAGTCTTTCGTCGGCGTTCCCGGTCTTTCGACTTTCATGACTCCTAGCTCTACACGTTTCTTCTTTGTCACGTTATACCGTTAACAATTTCTAACCAGAGCTTACTTAAAATGAGCATGACCGGATCGAAACTGAATTATTTATGTTAAAATTTGCCAATATGCAGTAGTCCGGTCTGCGTAAGTTACTGTTAGTGTTACCATAAAATTGGAAGTTACTGGGCGGCGCTTAGCCTGTCATTCATTTCACCGCATCTTCAACATAAAGCTTGGCATTATATGGAGTCCCCCGGTAACACTAACCATGGAGGTTCGTCATGATACTTAATAAGTTTTGGAGTTATGTTTGGGTTCGGTTCGTTATAGCTAGGTTTATAAAAATAAAACCGTTTATTCGGCTGCATTTGCAAAACCGTAAACCATAACACATAAACAACTACGTAATAATAGTAATTTTTTAATTCCTGCGTTCGATCTAATTTCTGCGTTCGATTTAATTACATTTTGGTTACAGTTAACAATCAAATTCACATTTTATTGTAGGTTTATATTTTATAACCTACCAAGACGTGCGCTGAGTTGGACTCGTCGACGGTCTAATATTTGAAACAAATATTTTTGTTATCATATCAGACGAGTAGCTTAAATGCGGGGCGAAGGTCTCAATTGAAGAAATAAATTGTAACATGCTGCGCTGCAGGGCGCGGCATAGCAACCATCCAATGCGCAACGATCCAATGCAAAAATTTAAAATCACATTTGGATATAATGCGCGTGAGTGCTTACAAATTTGCTTTTGGCGGAGATATAAACTGCGCCTTTTTGTTAATGGTCTATAGACCAGACATTTAGGCAAAGTGCTAGGATATGGGACCCTTTCAACTACCGCCCCTAATCCCCTTGCCCCTATCCCGAATAGAAGTTAAAGCTAGAGAATCCACAATTTTCCCAAAATCTATTTCAACAGAGTGTGAACCACTGCTATATATAAAAATAACACAAATTTCTTTTTAATTTTTTTTGGGATAAAAATCCAAAAAAGTTGTCAAAATTTTAACTTTTTTGCGCGCACTTAATTTTTGGTTCTTAGATACCATATTTTGACCCTTTTTAAAAATATATCTTCAATCTTGTAACGAATAATTTAAATGTATTAAACATATTTTAGTCAAAAACCTAATTTTAAATGGAAGCAAAATTTTAAGTGCGCACCGCGCATATTTTCGATAATTTACACCGTAGTCTAGTCAGTAGTATTAATCACTATTATATGAAAATCGAGCGCTGAACTAAATACTGTCATATTTTCACAAGAATACCTTCGTAGTTTCTTAGAGTTATTGTTGCAATGTTGCATTTCAAAACTCCTTTTCACTCTATTTGGTTATCTTTTCGATGTGTAATTTGATTACTAAATATGTTTTTATGTATTCTCATTGATGTGGAGTACGCCATTTATTTTTATTGTATGCTTTATCCTCAAAAGTCTGCTCTATTTGTGACATACTTTTTATCTTCTATACGATTTATTGTGGTTGGTTGATATTGACATGAATTGGTTTATTTGATCCTTTACGATTACACTGTTAGAAATGTATAGTAAGATTTGACGGAATTAGAGAAACTTAAATATTGTAATGGCAAAGTTTTAATACTTTCAACACTACTATATTACAAATAATTTGAGGACCCCTAGTGGGAATTAACACCTCAATCAAATGTAGCAACCATTACAGGTTGTATGTCGATGTAAATGGTTGTTGCATGATAGTTTATTTAAAGACATCCTAAAGAATATCAGACATCGTTTTTAAGAGCTGTTAACTCCCATCTATCACCTATCACCCATCTATCACCTAAAGAATATCAGACACCACTCATTCCCATCTTCTGAATTGCTGCAAAGGTACTGTAATCAACAACTAAATAACTATAAACAGTAGCATCGGTTTTAGACTCTATCCTGAATTCCTTGCATTTTTGTGTTTATTTGAACTATGTCCGGTATCCCAATCAGAAATTACAGCCTTCGTGACAGACCCAACAGTGCAAAAGCAAAATGTTCTACCTGTGTATCACTAAGTCTTGAAAACGACAATTTGAGGAGACAAATTGCTCGTCTAACCAAACTTACCCAAGGCTCAGGCCATGACAAAATTGCGGTTCCATTCTCTTGCGGGGACAATGTTCTTATCTCTGAACATGAATCAGAAACTCAAAACTGTGAAGTTAGCAGTGTGGCTGAACTTAATAGCAACCCATCTCTTGTGAATTCTTCTGATGTTAACAAACAATCTTCAACCAGTGTTAACATTGTGGGTAAGTCCATCAACCCATATCATGATTTGAGTCGAGGTGTATTCAGGTTTGTTGATACTCTCAAGTTGGATATGGAAACACAATACACACAAACGTTTAACAATAGGACTGTAGCATACTATGGGGATTTCCCATATGCCTACAATGGAGGTTTCCACAACACAAGGCCGTTAAATGACAATCCCTTATTAAAGTCTATTTTAGAACGTTTACGCTCACAGTTTTTTTTTTTTTTTTTTTTTTTTTGATCAAGTAAAAAGGAAGCAACTCACGGTATCACTCTCAGAAGAGACATGTTTCATCATTTACCGGAATTGCAACCAAATATACACAATAAGGTTTGGTACTTTATCCGTACATCCCCTTTAATAGCTACAATAAATTGTCTATAAAATTTACATAAACAAACTTAAGAGACCTCAAAGCTCGTCTTCTGAGGAATGAGATTGAAGGATACGTCATCCAGTCCAAGGTGCTGGGCTTTTTGTCTTCCTCTGATTCCCCTGAGTGCTATGAGTGTGCTTCGTAGCAGATCAAACCTGAATCGTGTTCTGATGTGATTTTTGACCTGGCTCTTAGCTTCTTTATAGTGGTCAGCTATCCTTTCAGAAATACGATCTACAAACACAGTGCAGGGACAAAAAGATTTCGCGGCATGTACGAAATCGCAAAATTTCCCATTCTCCGCGACAAATTTTATGTATAGTTTAATGTATAGCCTGTTAAATTTCGCGGTACCGCGATTTTCGGCCAAAATAATCGCGAAATCCTTTTGTCCCTGACACAGTGCAGAGTGGGCCCATACCTCCGGATGTTGTAAAAACTAGTGGGACAAAGGACCCTTTCTCTGACTGAAGTACTCTCTCCTCATATAGATCTTTCTTCTCTTTCTCATGCGCACTGTAGATTTTATCTAGTGGCTTAAATGTATTGGAGTCGCAATTTGGATGAGTGACCCTGATGTCAAAGAATGTTCTTTCGAATGGTGCATACAGTCCAACAGCTGCTACGTCCAGACGGGCTTCATCCTGGGTGTTGGTCTTCCTGGAGAATGAAGTTGGTTGGACAGGTAGGAGTGCAGGTTCTATCCTTACATCCTTACACTTTGCTTCTTGAAGGAAGAAAGCTGCAGTGTCTCTAATGGCATTGTGGCGCATGCTAACGTATCCACCTAATTTACAATCAAGGGAGTGGTAGACACTGTTTGCATGTCCGCAAGCACATTTAGAGGGCACTCCTTGGATCTTCCATCCATAGCGTAGGCGTATGCTGTCTTGGAACTCTTGCTTGTTTAGAACATAGTTGAGGTCCTTTAGAGTTCCCAAGTCTGAAATTTAACAGCGCCATGATCACTAAGTATGAAAATGGCAAGCAAGGAATACCATTCCATTCAGATGATGAGAGGTCCATATCACCAGGCTCCATGATTTCCACCATATCGTTAGGAGCAACAAGAGTCCTCAGTTTTAGGTCTAAAAGCAAAGTCCACGTTGCCAATCTTACTCTCTCCCATGGCGACATAATGATTATGACCAGAAAATCTCAGGACAGCTTTGAACACAGCCTTATTCAGGACCATACTGATGACATGAGAATTAGCATTACTCTGCGCCAGATTGATGGCAGTGCAACCTTGTCTGCTCCACCCGATACCTCAAGTAAGCCTTTCGTTACTGTAAGAGAAACTGAACCCTCAATCAAAGGGAAATCGTCACCCAACAAAATCACTCATAAGAGCACCGTACCCCCTGCTTCAGTCAAAAGCAAATCCCTTGCTGTGTATGTTAGCTCAAGCATGTTCTCCAAGTTAGATGCTACAAAACTATCCTCTGCTCATCAAGAAGCACATGTATTTCACTATCCTGGTGGCATTGCAAACGGTATCAATGAACGCTTCCACTCAGATGAAAGAAAGAGGTCAATTGATGCAAATAATGTGAAGACCATCGTACTCATGTGTGGAACTAATGATGT